CCAATGGACTCATTGTTTACAACAGCGCTCCAGCTTCCTCTCTCCCTCTATCAAAGAGTCTCTCTTCTCTTTGTTGCTAGGGACTTGTACCTGGCTTGCCATGGCCACAGATCCTGAATTGCAATTCTTTGCTGATCCCAAATAAATCCATTTTTGCCGGGGACATAACTGGCTGTCATTTGTTCAAGGTCAATAATAGCAATTCTCTCTCACTTGCCATTCTCTAATCTTGGTCATTTCAGTTTGATCTTCATATACTTACTATATCCATATACCATCTGTGCCTAATATTTATTTACTATAAATTTATCTTTGTTCTAACCAATATTTCTGTGAAGTCAAAAGTTTTTTGTAAATGAAATTAAAATATTTAATACAAATTTGAAAATATGAATGTCTCCCACTGAAAATCACCTATGCTGACTGTGGTGGTTAATTTTAATGTGTCAACTTGGCTAGGCTATGTTGCCCCGTTGTTTGGTCAAATACCAGTCAATGTTGCAGTTCTGGTGTTTTCTGTATGGGATCAGCATTTATATCAGTAAACTGTGAGTAAAGCAGATGGCCCTCCACAATGTGTGTGGGCCTCATCCAATCAGTTGAAGGACTCGCGAGAAAAGACTGAGGTCCCCTGAAGAGGAAGAAACTCTGCCTCCAGACGGCCTTCAGATCGAAGACTGCAGCCTCGACTCCTGCCAGAATTTCTAGCCTGCTGGCCTGATGGCAGATTTTGAACTTGCCAGGTTCCACAATCACATGAGCCAATTCCTTAAAATAAATCACCACCACTCCACTGTCTATCTCTGTCTCACTTTCTACGTGTGTGTGTGTGTGTGTGTATACATATCCTCTCCTATTGGTTCTGTTTCTCTGGAGAACCCTGACATGCTTACCAGCCTTTAGGAACACTGACTTTCCAAATCACATTCAAATGTCTTGGCCTGGATCCAATGCCCACATTAACCTGGCTCCTCCCTCCTATTCCAGGTCGCCTGCATGTGACTTTCCAGTGCACACTCTGCTTCACTACATCTGGTCACCTCACACCTTGTCTGTGCTCTGCACTCTGATGAGAATGCCTTGGTTTGCCAGGCATCCCCAGTTCCTGCCTTCAGGCCTGGATCAATTACCACATGAAGAGCTATGGAAAAACTAAAGGATGGAATAAGATTCTCACATTTAGAAATATGCAAAACTAGCTTCGGAAAATAAGGTTTCATCTCATGTGCCAATTCTGACTAACTGCTGATGGCTGCTTGGAACATGTTAAGAAGGATTCTGAGGCTTTTTCTGAATGAACACAGTGATCTACTAGTGATGTCTGACAGCAGAAGTGCAATAAGTGGTCAGAGTGGTAATAAACTTAGTACAAATTTGCCACATCTGGCTTGGTTATTAAGGAAACAAGCCAAGAGTATTTGCCTGAGGCCTTTCCAATGCCTACTCAAACAAAGTATTAGATCCAAGAACCTTTAAAAAATGAATTTACATTCCAGTCATTTCCCAGATTTACACATGTAGGGAAAGTCAACCAAGAGCATCCAAACCAAGGCAGAAGCAGAACAGAGGAGAGGCTCCATGTGCTTCCCCAGAACCCTCTTCATGTATTATCAAATGTCAAACAGACTCTGCCTGCTGGGATGAGTGAGTGGGGAACACAGATGTCCCCAGCATGCCGCTGAGCCAGTCCTCTGCCAAGCTGCCCAGCACCTGACACGGCGACGTCCTTACAAAGACTTGTGGGAAATCACAGGTATGAAGATGCTCTTGGGGCAGAAAGGCTGCGTGGGTCCTTCCCTCACATCCCTGCCTTCCCACCCCTGGATTGCTGGACCAAGAACAGAAGCAACCGGTTGCCGCCACCAAGGTCAGTTTGCCCTATTGATACAGATTTTCCTGAAAATCAAAACCAAATTGTCCTGATAGGAAATCACCCTATCCCTGGTTTTCAGTGGTTCTTTCCCATAGTCTCTAAGGTCGCGGGTGAGGGGAGTATGATTATTTATACAGACAGATTAGGTTACTTTCATTCTTTCTGAACTTGGGCATTTCTTTCCAATAAGACAGTATGATGGGCAACGAAGACACAAGGAGAAATCCTATTTGGTCTGTGCTTTCAAGGAGCTCGGAGCTTAACTGATAGTCAAAGAATATTTAGAAACATATTGTAATGCAGGGTTGGCAAACTTTTTCCATGAAAGGCCAGATAGTAAAAGTCTTCTGCTCTGCAGGCCGTTTGCTCTCTGTTGCGACTGCTCCACTGCACTGTCATAGCACAAACGCAGCAGGGACAGTGCTGATGTTGATGGGGGGGCCGTGTCCCATAGGGATTATTTACAGAAAAAGGCTGCTGGCCAGATTTGGTCTAGAGTTTCCTGATCCCTGTTTTAGACCCTATTGGAAAAATTAAGACCTGTGATGAGCATCTCTCAGAGGAAGAGGGAAAAAAACCAGTGGATCAGTCTTTGGTTAGTGTGGTCACTTGAATAATCAGAAGCTTATTCCTTGGTGGTGATTTTTTAAGTTTATGAGAACTTCAAGTAAGATCTATGGTATCTCTTGTGAATATGTGAAGAAAGAAAGTAGTTAACTTTAATAATAGAATGCCTTTATTCATTTAAAATTATTTTTAATACAAGAATTTGGCATAGTCGTAATTCATTCAGTGAGGAACAATTGCCAAATATGAAAACAACGTTGTAGAAATCCACAGGGCAGAGTGCAGAAAGCCCTAGAGGGAAATAAGAAAAGTCTCATAGAATGTGTACAGAGCAACTGTGACCCTGTCATGCACAGAGTTCTTAATTTTCAAATCATCATGGAATATTCTGGAAAACCACCCTCACCACAAAACTTCAACAAAGGCTCTTGTTCTCGTTCATGTACCCTCTAGCAACTAAAAATTTATTGAGCATTGGGGCAAATAAAGAGTCTAGAAAATGTGATAGAAGATCAGAAAGCACCATTTTACTATTAGATACACTGATGTTCTAATGAAATCCTGGTCTTACAAAAAGAACTTGTTTCTGGAAAGTTGATTAGAGAAGTCCATTTAAATACAAAGGCTTTGGGGTGAGAATGCTACTGGCTCAGCTTGTATGACAGAGCAACTTGTCTCCCAAAGGTCACTGCACTGTCCCTCATGATGGCATTAAACTTCAACGTCCTAGAGGTTAGGGAGAAAAGTACTCTCTGTTTTATTGTGAAACCAAAGTCCAAACAGATTCAGCTACAGTCCATAGCACAACCATTGCCATTATTTTCAAAATGACTTTAATTTCTAGAGGAGGCAACAGAAGCAAAACTGAGGAACTAGCCACCTGGGAAACTTCACTTGCACATCACCAATGCTCCTGCTCTGTCGCCCATATAGTCATGTGCCTCATAACCATATTTTGGTCAACAACAGACCACATACACCATGGTGGTCCCATAAGACTAATACCATAGAGCCTAGGTGTATAGTAGGCTACAGCATCTAGGTTTGTGTAAGTACACTCTATGATGTTCACACAACAATCAAATTGCCTAATGGCATTTCTCAAAACATATCCCCATTGTTAAGCGACATACATCTGTACTGATTTTAGTTTTGCAAATGTTGAATAAGGAATTACTCATTTTAATTATTTGAGTCAGCCTCTCTGATTGACGATGATAAAGGTTAACTGAAGCAAAAAACTAAAATTTGCTATTGAATATTCACAAAGCTAAATAAGCGTAGAACTTTAAGTTCTATATCTGGATTCATGTAAGGCAAAAACATTCTATAGGGAAGATGAATTTGAGGCCATATATGATCCTGAGTGTAAATGTCTCGGGACAGGCAAAAATTCCAGGCAGCATTTCAGACTTTCAAGGCAGTAGAATTGGTGAGACCCAAGTCAAGTTCTCCAAAGAGTAAAGGAGGACCCAGGTGATATCTGGGGTACAGATGAAAGAAGCAGAAAATTTCACTGAAGTAAATATATGATATGATGAAAGGGTGGAGCTGGAAAACAGGATGACAGGCAAGGTATAGAAGGACAGAGAGGGCCCAGGAGGGGTAGAGAGATCTGCCAGTCTGGGGGGTGGGGAAGGGCTGTGGGTACCCCTCTTCATGCTGTCCCCTCCCCCACACTCTAAAACTCTTTGTGACACTTCAATGCTCTGTAATGCAGGCCTGGGACTATAGTCAAATGACTGCACCCTCAGAGCCCAGTTCCCTCAGGTAGCCTTGTGATTCAGACAATGGAGTTCAGACAAGGGACTTTTCTCTCATTTCTGAATAGCCCTATTGAGTCATGTCTGAGCTTTGGGTCAACATTCCTGGATACTCATTCCAACCTCACCTTCCTATGTGGGTTGGGGTTGCTCCTTCCGTTCCTGGGCTACCTGGTGGGGATTCCAACTTTACCAACCTTCTGGAAAACCAAAGACTTCCAAAAGGTAAGGAACTCTCAGCAAGCCCCCAACAGGGACTCTTTATTGTTGTTTCTATCTCTATCCTCATATTTTAAAATGAGTTTAGTTGGCTCAGAGAGACACCTAAGATGGAAAGTCTGAGTAGAGGATAGAATAGCATCCTTCTAGGGGAATAGGCTGGGCAGGGCTAGGGGTTCAGCCTGGAATGTTTCCCTAGGAAGTTCACAGTCCACCGAGAGGGGTGAAGGATTCCAGGATAAGATCCCAAACTCAGTGATTCTGCACTCCTGGATCGGGTTATTTAGAGTTTGGGATCTGTGCAGGAGAAAAGAGTTCCCAGCACTTGATCATGAGTCACATTCCCATTTCAGGTATCACTTGACGAAGGCTTCCTGTGTGTTGGGCAGATCAAGAGAGCAGGGCTGAGTCTCTGAGCAGCGACTGGAGTCTGAGCTCTGTCCCAGGATACAGGCTCCTCTCAGAGAGCACAGGCGTGACTGTTGGCCTCAGAGTCGATACCCTCCTTGAGGAGAGGACTTCTGACTCAGAATATCAAGTGTGGACCTCATAGAAAAAAATCCTCCTTTGAGCTTTCCAATGAAAGAAAAAGTGAAAATATTTTATCACCTTTAAAAATTAACTAAAGGAAGGAACACAAAATTCTATTAATTAAAATAGAGAGTCATATTATTCTTGGATAATGGATATCTGAGTTTCCTAGAAAGAGAAGGGAGACAAATGAGCCCAGCACCCTATTCTTTTCTTTTTGTTCTCAGCATAAGGGCAGAGCCAAGAGGAGAAGGAAAAGTGGAACATAGAAAGGTAAGATCCTGCTTATTCCACCTGAGCTCTCCAAGGGTGACTCTTCCCATCCTTTCCATGAGGTCCCAGGTCCATGATCTCTGAGGATGTCAGTTGCTAGATACAGTCCCTCTCAGGAAACACAGTCCTCAGAGGAGAGGCTCAAAGGAAAGCAGTCAGAACAAGAAACACTTCTCAGATTCGAGCTCTGCCCATCCCTGGGCATGAAGCAGTGATGGACCTGGGCAATGGGTGTTGACCAACAGGTGGCCTTGTGAGATGTCGAGAGTCAGAACTTCTGTCTCCTGACCTTGTGAAAGTACTTTGACTTCCTGGATGATCAGATTCCTCTTTGAGGTAACCACTGACCTATGTTCCTCACAGGGTGGTTTTGAGCACCTCTTGGCATTATATATACACACACACATACATACACATACATGAAAACCCTTTGTGAACAGTAAAGCAACATACATATGTGAGCTTTGTTATTATCATTAACTATGTGATCTTGAATCCTAATTCTTGGGGATCTCCAAGTCCAATCTACCAAGGGTACCATAAAGGACATTCTACTCTGCCTCCTAAAAGAGATCTTTGCTTCTATCTTCATCCTCCTCCTGGTTTCCCAGGTTGGAGAGATTGCCAGAGCAAAGCAGAGGAGGCAAGGAAGGTGCTTTCTCTTCTGCAAAGGTGACTAAACATTACCCTTCTTTCCCACATCCCTCTTTTTAGTAAAGTCTATGAATTTCTAGGACCTCAGTGAAGCCTGGGATTGCCATGGGAGGGAAAATCCTGAGTCAGAATGTGAAAGCCTTGGGTAGAGGGAAGCAAGTTACATTGCGAGATCAAGGAAGTGAGGAAGTGTGAAAGGACAGTATACACTGGGCGCCCCACCTCTGCCAGACCTGCCAGGTCCCATACATTTGTTCTGGTTCTGGCTGCAGCTTTGTACCTCCTGTCTCCTGCAGTCCCCTGGGCCAGCATCATGATATCTTCTGCCTTCATCAACTGTTATGTCCAGACTCATTCCGTGAGTTGCGTAATACTGCAACTGATGAGTCAATTGGCTGAAGTGCCTGGAGGCCCTGGAAGATACTCCTCCCTCTATGTCCCCTTTGGCTTCCACAGCTTCTGTGACTGAGTCGTTGTTCACTCCGTCCTCTGCCTTCTCAGCAGTCCCTCTAGGAGACCTAATACTAGCCCCTCTACCTGAGCCTTCCTCACCCACCTGCATTCTCTAACCTAACCTAATGACACCCTTAGCTGACTTTCTTTCACCCTCACCATCAGGTCTCTCTATGCCACCAGAGCCTTTTCCTCCCTTAGATTCCAAATTCCCAGACTATTTCCCAGCCCAGCCCCTGCCTTTCCTCCTCTCCAACCACATGACACTTAGACAGTGGATCCTGTTCTCCAATTAAAGGCCACTTTATCTCTGTACTCCATCTTTTCTCTTGATCACACCCTTTCCCGAGATATCAACCCTTTACCAGATTTGTCCCAGACAAGGAATCCCACTGACTGATTGGCCTGTCATCACACACCACCAATCCTGTTTCACAACCACCACACTGCCCATTACCTGTAACTCAATCTAAATTGATTTCCATCCTATTGAGGCCTGTTCCAGAGAAGTCACCTCCAGATAGCCCTGGTAAGTTGTCCGCTTGTCCCAACAATCAGATGTCCTGACCATTCAAGCCTGTCAATTTCAGAATCCAGTTGCTGGCAGACTCATGTTAAGAATATGTTGTTTCCCATGTTATCACACTGAATGTCCCTCACCAAAAATATCAGTTCCCCAAGATTCTAAATGATCATACCTTAAAATACAGCTCCTAAGTGAGTTAAAGTTTCAACTGGAAAGTGAGAAGCATAGCCAGGCTCAAGACATGTCCTCTATTTCAGATAGCTTGCTTTCTAAGTCCTCCCTGACTCAGTCCCAGAGCATTTCCAGTGGGGACATGGGAGTTTTCCAGGTGGGGCACATCCATTTGGAGAACACCGGGATCAGCATGGAGCAGCAGCAGGAGCCCTGGGTTTCTAAGTGTGTGTCATGGAAGTTCCAAGACAAGAATTTCCCATCAGCTGCAAACAGAGTGAGGCCTCTGAAAGCTCCAAAGCAGAATGTGGAAGTGAGGACTCTCAGGAGTAGGGACATCTAAAGCTAGAAAGAAGAGCCACTCTATCGAGGACAGAGAATTAGAGGGCACTTCCCCATCTCTGTCACAGAATGAACAGTTTCTTCCTGAGAGTTACTTCAGAAAAAAGAGGAGGCAATTTTTTTTTCAATGGATGAATTCCAAGGGAAAAATCATAGGGCAGCAAAGTCCCCAGCAAAAACCCAAGTTCATGTCAAGCTTTGCACAACATGAACGCCCCACTGAAAGTACAGCTCTCTTTGTGAGTTGTTGGCCTCCTGAAGCTCATGAGCTCATGGCAACCATCGGGAAGATACTAGAAGAGAAACTGGCATGTGGGTACAAACCTGAGGCGATGGAGTTAAGTCAGCAGAAGGACAAACTGCAGGCCCAGTAGAGCCTGACAAGGGACATCCCGCCAACTACGGAGCTCTCTCTGACTCCCAGCCAGGGGAATGGGCAAGGACCATGTCTTGCAGCCAAGACCCTGGCACTGCTGACCAGAGTTGTTTATAAGTGTTAGCCAGAACAGAGATAGGATCGGACATCCCTGGAAAGTTGTAGCCTTCAAGGATCAGTGTTTATGCCAGAGTCAACCCCCTTCCCTGCCCTCCAGGGAGTCTGTGCCCCATCCGAGCCCCACCTGCATGTCAGCTATGCCAGGTCCCTCCAGCCACCCTCACCCCTGAGGAAGGTACTGGGTTCAGGGATTTGACTCTTCTATTCAAACAGAAAATGCTTCTCCAATACTTCCAGGGAGGAAATATGTCCCCAAAGAAATCAATCAGTCCTTCTTGAGAAAGCATCGCAGTTTTCATGAGAACACATCCTCTGATGAGAACAATGATTAGCCACAACCAAGAAAACTGATCCTCCTCAAATTTTTCTGCTAACAGAGAGGGGTGTTCTCTGTGTAGTGCATTGGGCATGTAGGTTTGGGGTACTCTCAGGCTTATGCTCAGGGAAAGGAAGGAGGGATGTCAGCTCTGATTTCCTCTTTTGGTTTCTAAAAGATGACAAGTCCCTTGTAGGGGACCTGACAGTGGCCATCTCAGTTTTATCCTGGGTCCTTTATTTGACCCGGCTCAGATGTCCTCTATTTAAAACACTTTATTCTTTCATAAAAAGTACAGAAAGTTTACTCTAAAAACTTCAGTCATTTTCAAAGTGGGCAAAACCCTTCAAGTCCAGAACTTGGCTCAACCTGTCTTTCCATCTGCTCCCTCACTATCCTGAACTATACACAGCTGCAGGGTGGGATGCATTCCTCTGGAATAACACAGCCAGAATTCCCCCTTGTGGCTTCAGAAAGTTTTGGAATTGGAAGTGTGGAGGTGTTTAGGCCCTGGCGTGAGTGGTAGGGGGAAATGTTGCTCTTGGATCTCTTGGTGAGGAATAAATGTCACCTGCTCCTCAGAGCCCTTCTCTCCCTCAGGAAGTCTGGAGTGTGGGCCATGTCCCCACCCCTCACCTGACCCTAATGAAAATGGGGAGCAGTTCACCTTTCCCCTTCCTCTACCATTCCCAGAACAGTAGGGAGAACAGAGCTTGCAGCTCTGAAAAGGATCAGAGATACGAATATTTTCCAGAAAACAGTGGCTTATTTTCATTTAGAAAAAGTTGCTGACTCCAGAGACTCTCACAGGTGGGCAGTCAATGGGGGGCTGTGTATGGATGGGTTTTGTGATTGTGGACACTGGAGTGGCCAGGGCAGGGTCTAGGAACTGGGTGGATCCAGCTGAAGAGTCTGTTATACGTAGGGTGTTAATCTGTCTAGAAGGAATATTTTGAGATCTACAAAGAGGTCTCCTTGCTTGTGAAGGATGCTGAAGATTGGGAAGAGCCGCCCCTCAGGTAAATCTCTTCAGGCTGCCTAGCTTGACAGCAGCATTACAAGACCAAGAGATCACCGAGCCATCACTGAAGGAACGGTCATCGGGCAGCCACTCAGGATATGGGAGGGAAAGAAACAGAGAGTAAAGAAAATGTAATGGTGGAGTGAGTGTGAAAGGAAGAAAAAAATGAGAAGGGGAAGAATGACCTCATCATCATTCTTCATGACCCCATCCTGGCCATGCACTCCACCCAACACTACCTAGGCCTTGCTTCCTGGAGACTGATCGGGCTTAGTGGAGCAGAATACTATCACTGCAGCATAAGAGGATGTGGGATAGTCTTTGAGCATGAAGACAGTTTCTCCAGGGAGACTGTCAGAGAGGGTCTCCTCCTATTTGGTGCCCGCCTTCCCAGCCATGCTATATCTTACAGCAAGGTTACAGTAATTTAGGGGTGTGTTATCTATTGCTATGTAATGGATACCCCAAAATTTCTTGGCTTAAAAAAAACATATTTATTAACTCACAGTTTTTCCGGGTCAGGAGTCTAGGCAAGGCCTACCTGGATTCCCTGCTCCAGGGTCTCTCACAAGGCTGCAACTAAGATATCAGCTGGGGCTGGGGTCTCATCTGAACGCTCAAGTGGGGAAGGACATACTTCTGTGCTCAATTATAGAGCTGTTGGCAGGATGCAGCTCCTCAAGGCCTGTTGGACTGAGATCCTCAATTCCTGGTGGCTGTGGGCTGAGTAGGATGGAGGCAACCCTCAGTTCCTTGTCCTGTGGGCCTCTCCAACATGGAAGCTTGCTTCATCAAAGCCAGGAGAGAGTCTGACAGCAAGGCAGAAGTCACAATCTTTTGTAAACTAATAATGGAAATGACATCCCATCACCTTTCCCTTATTCTATTAGTCAGAAGCAAATCACTAAGTCCAGCCTAGTCTCAAGGGGAGGCGTAATTACACAAAGGTGTGAATATCAGGAGGCAGGGATCATTGGAACCTTCTTAGAAGTCTTCCTAACACCAGGGTTTCTTCTTGGACACCCCACTCAGTTCACTGAAGCAAAAGTGGCCAAAGGTGCCAAGTGGATCCTTGTTCTCAACCACATCCATGTCCTCAAGGTCAAAGCTGCTTAAGAGCTAAGTGGAGTGGTGGCTGAAAAACGTCAAAGACGTTGGAGCATCCAAAGAAGGAGACAAAGGTGGCGTGGAGGTAGAGGTGGTGTGGGGTCATCATGAACGGTAAAGTGAAAGGAGCCCTTAGAACCACCTGACTCACCACTGCCAGTATTCAGACTTAGAGGGGAGGAAAAGCTAGGTGCAATATGCTTCACCCTGGCTCCACCTCAGTCTCTCCACTCTGCTCTAGCTCCAAGACAATAAGCCTAAAGAAGCAACCTTCAGCTCCTGCAGAGACAGCCAGGCTTATAGAGGAAGCAAACCCTACAGGTTGCACTTAAACCCTACAGGTTTAATTTCTGCTCTTATTAATATATTTAATATAACATATCCATCATTTCAAATTTGATCCTCACAGTTTGAACATCAGAATGAGTCACACAATCGATGGCAAAGCCAGCACTAGGGAACTCAGAGCATGTCACTCCCATTCTGGGATGTTTTCCACCTACCGATGGCCCGAGGACTTTAACCAAAGGAGAGTTGGTGGCCTAAAGGGGCTGATGTACTGGCTGGGGTCACATAACAAGTCACACCTGGTACCCAGATATTTGCTTCCATTCAGAGAAACACTGGATGAGACAAGGAGACAGAATTACACACTCAGCACGTCTAGGAAGTGACCTGTCCAAATGAGATGGTAGCACTGTCCACAAGTGATCCCACACTCTTGTTCTGCTTCTAGGACTGTTTTCCTTGTTCCCAGACTCCTGTTCCTATGGGAAAGTAGGACTGTCATCAAAAGAAGGCATGTGTATTAGCTGAACAATGATTACAGAGATAAGGACCAATTTCTCTAGAAAAAGATTTCATGTGCTTGGTTCCCATGTCCAGGTATCACAGTATTGTGCAATTTCAGGGGGTCTCATTCACGTATTTCATGGTGCCTGAAGAATTATCACTGACATAGAATGCAATGGGAATGGGCTACCTGAATTTTTACAGCCTCAAGCCCACACTCCAAATCTCACGTCAGGACAAACAAAATGCATGAATTGACTGGTACCTTAACATGGCTTGGGCAGGGAACCCCAGATCCCAGGTTCAGGCATCGTGAATTTCTCCTGTGCCAGGTGCCGCCTAAGGGAATCAGCTTCCTTGAGTCAGCCTTCGTGGGGATTAACACTGCGAACTGTGCCCCAATCTGCAGTCACAATGAAGGGGCCCAGGCTATGAGAAGGGGCTCTTCTCTTGAGGGCTTTCTTCTAGAACTTCCACTGGCTCTGGATCACAGCCTTAAATTAGGCTATTTTCCTGGGGTTACAAGGACATGTTCACTTTTCATTAAGGAGGCCAAGTAGCAGCTCAAAGACTTCTAGAGGCTGTCTCCTTATCTCCCAGGAGACTGAGGGTCTCTTCCTTCCTTCTAGGGGCATCAGGGGGCAGGGGGCAGGGAAGGAACTGACTATTATGCAAGTTTAACAATGTTTCACTGTGGGAGGGGGTTGGGCTGACAATGACAAGAGGGGGCAATATTCCTCTACAGTGATTCTTGCCCAGCTTGAGGCAACCTTCATTTGAAACAGGATAATTTACCAAGCTGTTGACTGCTGTTTCTACTCCCTGCCAGAGGGGCTCCAGAAGGAATAAATGTTATCTTTCCCCGTTTGTCTCACAGCAAGTTCTGGGCTTCTGGTCTCAGGGGTTATTAATGGCTTTCATGTTTCCTGACCCTGAACATAAGTTGTGATGCACCTGTTCTACAGTCCTGTCCAGACCATCATGTGGGAGGAGGATAGCTGGGTGTCCCCAGGAAAGAGGAGATAGGGGTTGACACAAGTGTTGGGTGAAAGGAGAGTAGCCTAAAGGTAACAGCAGCTCCAATGTCTTGAGAGTAAAAATGCAAAGACGAGTCCCTTAAGTGGGTGGGTTCTGTGTGGACGTCCTCTAGGAGACACCACAGGTTTTACAGGATCAAGTGATGTTGCTGAGATGACTAATCATCAAGCTCCATCACCCTGAGAGTTGCAACAGACACTGCATCGCTCACACTTAGCACAGAGGCTGTGCGGCCACTGGCGTTTTAATGGGCCAGATGGGCTTAGACAATGAACATCCCAGGGGCAACCCAGGTGGACTCAATATCACAGGCTCTTTCCTACATATTTTTTCACAGTGAATATTAAACTATACAGGCAAAACGCCCCCAGTAATGACTAATAAGAGATATCTTTTTACTCTTTAAAATGGGGCTTTGAGCCAGATTTAATTTAATTTAGATTAAGTACTGCTTGTTGTACTTCAATGTTGCGGAACAAAGTTATGCTTTTTTTTGTGAGGAAGACTGCCCCTGAGCTAACATGTGTGACAATCTTTCTCTATTTTATGTGGGATGCCACCACAGCGTGGCTTGACGAGTGGTGCTAAGTCCACACCTGGGATCCGAACCTGAGAACCCTGGGCCACTGAAGGAGACCACGCAAATTTAACCACTAAGTCACTGGGCCGGCCCAAAGTTATGCTTTTATGTATATTATGCTATTTAATCTTTACAACCCTTTGAAATAGGTTTATTTACCCTCTTTTACAGAAGGGCATGACCTGAACGACAGAGAAGGTAATACATATTTAATGTGCTAGCACAGAAGAGGGAGACAGGGATGGAGAGCCCCCTTATACTGTGAGGGATTCTTTGGATGTAAATGACAGCAAATACGAAGAGGATCTGTTGATTCAGGCACCTGAAAAAGTCTGGGAGTAAGGCTGCCCTCAGGCAGGAGGATTCATGCTGGGGCTCAGTTGATGCCATCAAGATTCAGTTTCTATCCATTTCTTGGCTCTATATTCTGGACTGGCTTCACTGTAAGACTTTCTGTCTGGCAAGTTAGTAGCTACATCTTCCAAGTTAAAGTGCAGCTTAAAATGGGTTGTCTCTCTCACTAGTCCCTTCAAAAGTCCCACTGTGTCTTATTGTCTCTGGTTGGGTCACATGCCCATCCCTGACCAATCACTGTTGCCAAAAGCATGGACCAATCTTTTTGGCCCAGCCTGAGTTAAACACCCACCCTTAAAGTAAGAGTGTTATGACAGACAATTCCATGCGCACTTGGACTGATACTGAGAACTCGGTTAGTCCTCCAAAGGGCAATAGAAGGACTATTTCCAGAAGGTGAGTGAATGCTGGGTATCAAAACAACAACAACAACAACAAAAACAAAACAGATGTCTACCACACCCCTCTTTCTCACCGCCCCACTTCTGCCTTCTTGTCCAAACTCATGCCATGGACTGAAGCTTACAGCTGCAGGAAATGCCAATTCTGTGGAGACCTTGGAAGAGGAAAGAGGCTCAGGATAAGAACTCAAAGGGGGAGGAACCAGTCAGAGGTCCCAACATCCTTGTGGATAGACCATCCAAAATCTGGCCTGTCACTGAATACCCCTCCTCATCTTAGAGCCCTTTACCTCCATTCCACGTCAGTTATGGCCATATCCTAGACATTACCACCAGGAACGTTTCCACATTCTGAAAGAAGACAGTCTGAAATCCCACCCTTTATTCTCTCAGCTTATGCCCTCGGTATGCCAATTCTTCAACCTATTCAGGAACTATAAGCCACTTTATACTTTCCCCTGTCCACCTGACAACCTTCTGACTCCATTTCTCCAAGGAAAACCTTATGGTCCATCACTTAACCCCAGGCCTAAACAGCGCTACTCTAAATGGCCTACCCCTTTCTCCTTTCATCTGTCCTGCCTGGCAAAATCCAACTCTGCCTTTCTTAGACCCGCCTTAAAATAAGGGGCTGATTCCTCTTGGATGAAATCACACGAATAAGAGTTTTGGGTCCCCATAAATGTCTGTTCTACAGCTACTGGTCAGCTCCACCACTGCCTGAGAATCTGCAGTCATTCCTCCTGTGTTAACATGTGCCAGGCACTCTTCTTCACCACATGGGACACCCAGTGGAGGCAACAAACAGAGTCCCTGCCTCGGTGGAGTTTCTGCGCTTGTTTTCTAATCAACTCTCTCGCCTAAGTTCTCACGACAATTCCACTTTCCTACAACTTGTCCACAATCCTCACTTGAGCATATATGCTGGACCGCCACAGGGGAATGAGAAATCATCAAATGAAAACTTCTCACGATAAAACCGTGAAAACCACAACAAAACAAAAATGCAGTCCCATTCCCTCTTTCTTCTTCCCTTCCCATTATACTGAAAGGTTTCCCTCAATGCTTTCCTTGATCCTCGCGAGCTGAGATCTGCCCTTGCTTTCCAATTCACAACACTTTTCACATGTATGGAATATGTGGCTTAATTATCTACCTTCCCAGAGGAGCAAGACCATGTTTCCCCGATCACAGCCAGGGACACCTAGCCGAGATCAGAATCCTCTGGATGAACATATAGGAAAAGGGAGGGATTCCTAAGGGGAGGCCCCACCCAGCGTCCTCTAGGGGTGGGGTCAACTCAGTGGCAGGGCCTGAGAGACTGTTTGACCTAGTAGTAGCAGCAAAGGCCAGCTGGATCCTGTTTCCATTGCTTCTGGAAGACAAGAGTTCAGATTTAACTCAAAGACAGGTTCTCACACAGGTTTCCGGATGCCCAAGCGACCTTATCCCCTGCTGTGCCTGAAGGGTCCTTCCCTCCATCTGCCATTTCCATCCTGGCCAGCCAGGCCTTGTGCCTTCTCAGCATGAACCCTGA